GACACCAGAAATACGCAATGCTCAAGTTTTGGTCGCCGGGTACTTCTCAGCCCGCAGAAATGAGATTTTTGCCATTTCTGAACGCATGCATTAATTGAGGGCACAGGAGGGGAAAAAAAAAAATTTGAGGGGTCACGCAAATAAGTTTGACCGGATTCAACTAGCCATTCATACACCCCCCCCCCCCCCCCCCGGAGGTTTATATATTTACCTCGTTATTCTTTTTGGTTTATACTCTTATATGTCAATCGGGAAGCCCAAGGTCAATCCCAAGTAGATACAGAGGTATTATGATCAGGAGACATGGCGAATTGGATTATTAAATAACTAGCCAAGGGTCGATATAAGCGGCCTCATATATATCGGGATGAGTTCAGGATGGGGTTTCTCTGAGGAAACCAGCGCCCCAAACTCCGCCGGATGGGGTTTCTCTGAGGAGAACAGTTCCCCAAACAGCGCCGGATGGGGTTTCGAGTCCAACGGCAGAGCATCAGCTCTACACGATAGCGAACCGGAACCCCAAATCATGCAACCCAAGCGCCGAACACGGCGTATCATGACTACCCTAGCCGAGTTTACGATGCGCCTGGCACAGTCAGAATTGGGGAGACTGGATCATGGCGAATTGCCTGGAGTTGCTCCGTCTCCATGGACGGAGAAGCTCGGAGCCGGATCTCAGTTTACAGTGTTTTTAGACACGCGTAACAAAGATCGTTCTCAGGTTATCAAGAGGGTCAATGTTTTCGATGTACACGACGATGGCTGGGAGGAGAGACGGCAAACGGGTGAGGAGGACCCAAATTTTAGAAGGCGGCTTTACCTCGTGGAGAGAGAAATATTGATTCTATGCCATCCATCGCTCAGGAAGCATCGAAATATTGCGGAGATTATTTCTTGGGGCTACGATTATAGAGAAGATAGTAATTGCCCTCGAGTGCCAATCTTGTATATGGAAAGGGCACTGTGTTCGCTTTTCAGCTTTCTAACATGCGACGACTTCAACAACTATTCAGCTCTTCAGAGAGAGAATATAGGCTATCAGATCTGTCTTGACGTTGCTGAGGGCCTGGCCGCTATCCACAAGTGCGGTATCGTTCATGGGGATATTAAACCCCATAATATCTTAATTTTCCCTCAGGAGAATGTCAAAGTCCCTTATGTTGGGAAGCTGAGCGATTTTGGTGCCTGTGTTTCGTTGCAAGATGAGGACACACTTGAAGACTTTGCTGTATACCGAGGAACTCCTAATTGGAGGCCTCCAGAAGCTGTCAAGTATGTAAAGGAGAAACACGGGTCTTTCTCGCCTGAGCTACTCCTCCGCTGCGACTCGTTTTCTTACGGCTTGCTGGTTCTCTCGGTCTTTACAGCAAACGGAAACCCTCCATTGTCGAAATCTTTAGAGCTCGCTCAACAGGCTTCGTATTCATCCAGTCCCCCACCGATATTCCTCCACGAAGACCAGGGTACCGCCTATCCTTCGGCTATGGATACCGCTGAGAGCCCGTTAGACGATGCCCTTACAACTCTTAACCGTGCATCTCATTTGGGAAACTTCTTGCAAACGAAAATACGGTTTTTGCTGCCTCGAGTTTTGCGGCTGAGGCCCGAGAACAGAGAATTGGTGGGTTCTGAAATGTTGGCCGATGTTAAAGAAGAGGCTTATTTGAACTGGTATGCCGAGCTCTGTTTTGATCCACTGATCAAACCTAATATTGCTGGTTCCACAGGCGACTTCAGAGGGATGATGCATCGCCTTCGTCTCCACACAAGTCCTGGAATAATGGGTCTAAAATACTGTTGAACGCAGCGGAAACACCACTAAAGGAGTTGGACGAACAGCACGACTGATTCCTGGGGGAATGATCAGTCAAACAAATTATCTCTACCTTAGGGGATATGATGAGGGTAAAATAAGTAGACAAACCTCGGGTTGGAGAGACATGCGAGGCTGCGCCTTTTGTGGATCAAATGTAGAGGAAGTTGTTATAAGTGAGGTGCCATCTTAAAGGTCGCCTCTATTTTGAGAATACCACCTATCCTGAAAGTTTCGCGGTCTTTGATACATCATTATAAAGTCCTTGGTGCGAAATCCATGAAATCACGAAACACTGCCAAGGCGTCTTTTTATTGGCTCAACTTCGAATGAAGTAATTGCCAAGGCGCCTTCCCATTGGCTGTTTCAACGACGTTCTCGCTTAGGCGCCTAGCTACCGTTCTCAGGACTTTACGATGCTGAGTACTACACTCAGCCTAAAACTTCTATATTTCTTATGCCCACGCCAGTTGATTGATTATTTATGCCCGCCGTGAGTTTGAAGCAGGGGAGACATACTCTATAGATAGATACATGTAACATTTACAGCTCTGGGGAAAGCGAATTAACTTACAAAACGTAGTTATCAGGTGCCTCCTTTTTCCCGTCCACTAAGAAGTCCCACACAGCGTTTATCGGTTTGTGGGGGGTCAATTATTCACCCTGTTGTCGGGACACTTCATGACCCGGAACCTTCCCCAGTGGTATGACAAACATAAAGCATTGATGTTTACAGCAGTTTCATAAAACTGTGCTTATCTAATCTTCACACGCATACAGTGCGATTCTTTAGACCTTAAAATAATAGCCTGCTTAGGAAGTCTGAGCCTATGATTATTGAGTGCTTGCCTGAGAGATAGTTTCAATTTCCCCGATAGGCTATCTTTTAAGAATAATATGGTCAGTGGAAAACTTCCCTGGGCCTAGTACGATGGAATCTTCTGTAACCTACAGTACCAAAAAAGGAGGTGGGATCACTACGGTATTCCCGTCAATGCGCTAGTAATGCGGTAAGAATACGGTATTGGTACAGTATTCTTCCTCCAATCCCGGTTTAATTCGGTATTCGTCACCAAGTTCCGTAGTCCTATGGTAGTGATCCCACCCCGTTTTTTCATACTGTATGTTATGGGGTGGTGGTGCGGATAAGTACATGTATATACCCTCGCTGGTCAAGAGGACTGCTGCTGCTATTTAAAAAGCCATAATTCCGAGCACGGGACTGTAGCTGTAGATCACCACAAGCCTTCATCGGTTGACCACTGGTCATAGGGCGGCGTCTTCAAGACATGTCAAGCTAGTAGGTAGAATACATGTACCCTAGGCCCTGGGTACATTATACAAATACTTTTTTTCGCAGAGGGCTACATGTCACCACCGGCAGTAGTGTGATAGGAAACTAGTCATTCACCTAAGAAAACACAGGTCCGGGGCATTCAGAACCCGTCCTATAGTACGTTATATTTCTGAAAAGCCCCCTACACCCAGCCCCTCCAAGATAAAAGGCTTAGAGATTACATCTTCAGAAGTGTCACTAAGCGCCGGACCATCACTGCTTGAATCCCCCGGCGCCTAACCTAGGATGGTCTCGACCTTAATTCGGGTAGTACTCTTACCAACGCATAGAGATATACCACTCCCATATTTGTATAAACAAGTAAGCCGAACCACCCGACCTGCTTCCATCATCGAGAGAATAGTGCAGCTAACCACTCTTAAAGTAAGTGGACAGAGGGATCGGTCTTGGTTTTCGATCACCACCATTCCCTAGGGTGAAACCTGGGTGTATATATGGTTTCCAGTAACTGGACCGGTCGTACTCCCATTCATGTTTTGGCGGGATGAGCGAATCGACTCTCCCAATTTTCAAGGACTCGCCACCCAGACGCTCCATCAACCGCTCTGGCCAGAGAAAAGATCATTACTGTTTTTCTAAGTTATTATGTGCGAAGAATCCGCCCAGAGAGGTGCTCACCACCTGTGGGGAAGCTATGCCACCGAAATGGTCGGAGTCGTTGATATACATCGAGATTCATGGATTCGAGTCAGGTTGTCCTAACAGCTTTGCCCAATATACTGCTCGCCTACCTAACAAGTTTTGGAACTTGTAAGTTACTAATATAGTGTAGGTATTCGTTTTTGGTACCAGAATCGATCGATTTCAAGCCTTGAATAACAGAAATACACTTGAAAATATGATAGCCTCTTCTCAGTCACTTTAGAATCCTCTAAGAAATAGGCTCGCCACCTCAACCGCTTGCCCTTCCGGTGGTACAAAACCCCCAGTGGCCTCTGATCCAGCTTTCCCCAAGGATGTCCCTCATTGATGGTTGTCTCCGGATCCGCATTTATCCTCACCTCTGGTTTGAGGCAGTTCGCAAACACTGCATGAATAAATTGGCTCAGCCTGAACTGCTGAAAGATTATCACAATCAATTGATTTATCAGATAAAATCAGGACCTCGTTCATGGATGAAGTCCTGCAGGCCACCTATTAAGTAGCATACATGTATCCATGCAGCGCGGTAAAGGAATTGCACGATTTAAAAATCTCGCGGGAATTAAGGAAAGGTCAGTTCAAGACTTTTATTCTTATCCACTGACTTGGTCGATGCGTTAACTTCTCGCCCGCTAATCGTTCACTTAATATCCTTTGTGAGTCAAGCTACATAACTAGCTACATGTACATGTAAATATGATAGATACATTCCAAGTGTATACTTTATAAAGTTTAAAATTGATATTCTTTATCCACAAATTATAAAGGGTCACAAAGAGTCACTCGTTCCTTGCCCCAAGCCTGCTCATTCAATGTGGTGAGTTACTTTTACTTACATTCTTCACCCTATCTGTCTGGTCGAAAAATGTTCCCTTGGCGATTTGTTGTATGCCGTTGTGAACCGTAATTAAAGTCTGAAGTGGAACAGCAGTCAGGCGTATTATTCCTTGGATGTTCAGCTTAGCCCGAGAGTAACATAAGGAAGCTCTGATATCCGCAACCACGAAGATCTTAAGAAGAGATTATTTGTCAAGTCAAGTTTCCAGTATGGAGTATGAGGTTGGGTTGCTAAATTCCGATCTGGACTAACTTCCCGGCGGATGGCATCGCGTAGCTTGACTCACTATACCGGATTGGGAAAGCCACAAGTTTGACATTGAAAAACTAAATTTGACTAACTAAAAGCAAGTCGGTGTAGTATAGTGGTTAGTACTTCTCGTTGTGGTTTCTAGGTAACTAGATAATAATTCCGAGAGGACCCATGTTCGATTCATGGCACCGACATTCAAATCAATTTATTTTGCTTTCTCTAGATTTTTTGCCCCTGTAAGGGGAAGTTGTTTTGTTGCGATCTTCCTTTCAAACTCCTTATTCGAGACTATCAGCATTCCTCCTATTCGCTGCTGGAGTTTAATACTGACAAGGTACTGGAATATCCCCAACCCTGAGGAATATACCCCACCCCGAATCCCTCGAGAAGATAAACAAACTACGCATCCATCCTTATTGAGAAAAGGGAGCTAGAACGGAACAGTTCAAAGGGGAGGAATGTTATAATCTTCTGCTTTCGCTTCATTTAGCTAGGGGTGCTACTGACATCTGGGTAAGCGCCCCAGGTCGACAATTTTCCCAAAATCTCTCTAAACAATACGGGAGACACGTCTGATCCTTGAGGTAGAGTTGACGATACGAAGTTAAGGGGTATTCTAATACCTTTCTTATTTGTTGTTGTTAATATTATTGAGTGGCATAATATGTGTGCTAGGATTCAACACACATTTACTGATAAGGTTTTGCCTGTGTCCGTAAGGACAACCTGATCTCCAGACCCGATAGACCTGGAGCATTTGTGGCTATGAGGCCGGCTAGATATCTTATCAATAGTCAAGAATAAATTAATACGTGTTGGCTCAGGATTGCCCACTTACTTATATATACCGCCAAAGTCCAACTCATAGGAAACGTGGTGCAGATCATACATAGAAACAATGAAAATATTATAGCCATGGCTGATATATGTACAGGCCTCTTCTGGGTGCTACAGCAGTCTAATTCTGTTGGGACGCAACAGCCCCAATAGCACTACCTGAATCAGGGGTCTTGGGTAAACTACAACGCAAGATATCCGCCAGAAATTCTTCCCAGGCCTGTATATAGCGAATTGATGATTTTAGGTGGTTGTGTGGGGGTCACCATTAAAGAAACATACCACTCAAATAATGATAAATTCATAAAGGACTTGGAGTATCGAGAGTGGCTAGCTGTAGCAGGATATTCCCAAACATCCGTGGACACTCGAGGATTGTACCCAACTCAACGGGCGAACGAAGAAATCTGTATTACAGTTGCAACTCGCTATGCCGGATCTCAATACGCCGGATCCCTTGCTGTCCCGTACAAAATCCTGGGATTTTGATTCTCTTCCTGCGAAATCGATTTGCTATCCCGGATTTCTTGTGAATATTTGCTATCCCGTACGAGATCCTTAGGATCTTGGCAATCCGGCATATCGAGTTGCGACTGTATGTACAAGTTGCCCTTGTAAGTGAGCTATTTCTTTGTAATCCAGGTAGACACCGAAAGTCCGACCCCAAAGGGGTTGCACTTAAGCTTCGATGGAGTACACGGTGATAACGAGTAGAACAGACATACACATGAGCATCAACTTCTGAAGTCCATATTATTTCCCTTTTCATTGCTCATTCCCGCGCTTTATCTAATTGTAGGATTTTGAATGGGCCGGGCCCCTTATAATCAAGCTTCTTGGTCGAGCGACGGGTCTTGATGTTAGTCGCGTTGAGCATAACCAAGTCTCCCACTTTAAAGACAGGCGGTTCTTCCCTTTTCCGATCATACTACTTTCCCATCTTCTCCCTAGTCTCGATCAGGCGAGCAAGAGCTGAGGTTTCTAAAGGTCAAATGATCAACTCATCCTTTTGAGCCCTGTAATCCCGCACCTGGAGGTCAAAACGCCTGAAATCTTCGACGGTTGGTACTCCCAACCACCTGTAAAGTGCTCCAATGTTGTAAAAGACTACCGCACAAAGTGTACCAGTAAGATAAATGAAGCCCTCTAGTATTAGCGTATGGCGTTTCTGTCCTTCAGTAACATAGGTATAACCTCCCAGACGACAAAGGATCTTGCAGAGTTCCATGCGTATAGGATCAGCTAACGCAACGCATATACACCAAAAGTATTAGGGACCTGACAACACCCAAAGTATTCCGTAAATTTCACGTCTTCGGGTAGCATGTCGCCATAGATAAACCCCAGACACAGAGTCCTAGATCTTGAGCGAGCATTTATTTCTTCTCTACCTCGGCCGTTGGTTTATTTTTCTGTGTTTGAACAGTTGGCCATTAGTAAAAAAGAATGTGGAAATGAGGAGGAATGAAGGGAATTCGAATAAGAAAAAGAGGTACCCAGCAGACACTTTAATGTTACTACCCAACTAGTCGCAACGTTGCAACCCACGAACTCGGGGATACAAACGACCTAAACACCCGATAGTACGCTTAGGCTCATTCCGAGTAGGGGCCCGGTCAATAAGTACCCAGACCTTTTGTTAATTCTTCGCCTGTATTCTATCTCTTCGATATACATGGCGGTATATTATATATGACATCCTGCTAGATAGACTATTTAATATGTCCCCTAGTATATCAATGTTGACCGTTTTTCTTCGTATGGCCAGAAGCCACAATAAATGCAGAGTTTAAGTTGCTTATGGACGACTAAGGGATAACCGTATTCGACATATAACGAGGAGCAATTTGATTGAGATCAGGTTGGCCTTGGCATCGAGTGATCAACTATGATGCATATCTTTGGGGTTTTAAGATTGTATTATAAGGGTTATACCCATGAGTTCGCTCTAGAGTGACATGAATTGAGTTGTTTTCTTACGTTTACTAGTATCATTAGATTCCAAGATGTGATGCTCAGTTATTCTTTTTTTGTTTAACTCATTACATGTAATTACATGCAGACCGAGTCTATGGTAATATCGCACTGCCCCTGAACTGCCCACTCTCAACCGCCGCCTCGCACAAGTACCAATACTAAAACAACACCAAAGCAAAACAAAATAGAACAAAATAAAACACAGCACACTTGTTCGTCCATTTGTGATGCTCAGCTAGCTGATTGGATGTTGATATAAAGTATTTCCGCCAAGGTCGTCCGATTAAATTAGTCATTCTTTGCTATAGAATTTTAACACCCTTTTTTGTAGGCGGCTTTGCGGCGCGGATACTCCGTGCCTTGCTAGATTGGTATGGGTGTGTATGTAGTTTGAGTCACGTCATGGGTAAACCGGGGAACGTCTAGCTCATCAACTGATCGTGTCCCTTTGGAGATTCAGACATGTGCTACAAATTCTATCTGCACGCACTATGCTAAAATTAATTTTTTCTGTGAGATCAAGGCCCCCGTTGCTAGCCCCTCTTCTGGCTATATATTTCTTCAAAGACTATAATTATAGCCTATTCTGCGTGAACTCGGAAAATTTATTACTTCACCCTCTCGCAAAATGAAACGATTGAAGGGCTTCCTAGTGACTAAATGAAGACTATACTATTGATCTCTACCGTACACGCCGATACTCATGCAAACACGTATATTCTTCCCTCGTCCTTTGATCATAATGGAATATAACACCGAAAAGTATATATGATGAAAGTAGAACGCCTTGTGACCCACCCAAACGATGCATAGTAGTGTTTTGCCAGTTTCGCCTTGTCCCAACCAAGAAAATCCGCTTATGGTACTGAATTAAACAAAAAAAAAATCCAAGAAAATTCAAACCCAAAGATAATAATACAAAAATAAAAGAACAAATGATTTCCAATACAAAAAATACCGACCGGAAAGATATCCTCCCATATAATAATTATTTATGGTATATATAATCGGCATAAAGCAAGGAGAGAAAGCAAATAATTGAAATTATTTGAATAACGATCTAAGATCCTATTCCATGTATTAGTCTTCATTCAACGTATTTAGATAGAAGTAAAAGGTAAACCTACTTCCAACCTCTGCTTCGTCAACTCGCTTCTTGACAATTTCTGCATTGATAGCTTCGCCAAATCCATTTTCTTCCTTTGAAGCTGCAATATCTTCCCCTCAAATGAGTTCGACATAATGAATCTAACGGTCGTGACTGGTCTTGTCTGGCCAAGACGATGAATACGGTCGATTGCTTGCGCTTCGGCGGCAGGGTTGAACTGTGGCTCCATGACATACACTTTACAGGCATCCGTCAAGTTCAGGCTACATGATGTTAGTAGTCTACATTATTTATGTTTATACTTTGGGGGTCGCTCACCCTAGACCACCAGCCATTATTGAAATTAGAATAACTTCGATATCCGGTTCTCTACGAAAATCTGCCATAGCTCGATCTCGCTGCGCCCTGGAAAGGCGGCCATCCAGGCGAACAAATTTGATTTTGTTGGCGTTGAAAGCAAGCTCAATAAGGTCCATATGACTAGTCCAACAGGAAAAAACAACACTCTTTATCGGATTCTCCGGTGTACTTTCCTCCTTGTTCTCGAGCAACATTTTCGTAAGAGCTTTAACCTTTGTACTCGGACCTCTATATGGGACCTTCTTCTTCGAAGGTTTAACAGATTCGACAATTTCCTCCTCTGCAGCCAAATCTTCTTGTAACAGCTCAAAAAGGTGCATCCTGGCGAATATGCCACAAACCGGGCAGGAAGCTTGTTGTCCTTCCCGGAAACTTTCTGATATAGCACCTTTATATGTCCCAACACATCCAACGCAAATAAGATGTGCGCAGGGCGTAAGATGCCCTATCAATTGTTTACTGGAGCCAGAAGCTTTCCCCTCCGCCTTCGTTTCAGCTTCGCTATTGATGGGGGTATTAACCTTCTTGCGACAAATACAGCAGACATCTTCATTCGCCTCTTTCATGAGCTTAAAAATCTCATATGCCTGTTTCATAGACCACGAAGACCCAGTTTTTTCTTCCAGCTCATCCACGTCAATTGCGTCGGAAGAAGTTAGCCCAGCAGTGTCATCACTACCAAGAAGCTCTCTCCCGTGGGCGCAGATTAGGCGGAGGCGGAGAATAGACTGCAGAACGTGGACGTATGCACGACCGCCAACATGGCCAGTCTTGACAACAAGATCCATTCTAGCTGTGGATTGCCGTGCTGTGGCATCATAGATCTCACGTTCTTCTGGGCTAAATTCGAGATATATCTACCAAATTAGTAATAGCCTCGTGCATAAGGGCTAGAATAACTTACAATTTGGT